AGGTACCACTGTATTTACACTGTATTCCTTTATATGAATATTTGGAATACTGTATTTTTATTTTACTTATTTTTAATACTGATAGGCCATCATTTTGTTTGCAGTGGTCTATAAACCAAGGGTTATTCCTCTCTAGATAAAAGTTAGTACTAAGGGCAAATTCAGTACTTTAACACAAGTACAGCTAAGGATGACCTCAACCTTTACTCAGGGAGCGGGACAAGATGAAGGCACATGGGGAGGTGACAGAAAATAAGATTTTGCCAGGGCATCTTGTGCAGTAGTTAAGTGCAAATGGAAAAAGGTCCTTTGTTCACATTCACAAGTGCAACAAATGGTATTCAACTAACAAAACAGAATTAAGCCATGCAATGGACACAACTGTGGAATTAATGGGAACTCACTTGAGTCAGCATTTTGTGAGAGCACCACACTGTGGAGATTCTAGCAGTTTCTTGAGATGAGATCACTGAAATCTTCTGAGATTAAGCAAGCATTAGATTATTTCCATGGGTACGGGTATGGGGTGTCTTGAGTATTCATAGCATCCCATGATTCTTTCTTGTACCTGAAAAGGTTGATAAGCTCTAGACTAAGACTTTAAGATTGACTTACGTAGAACACTTCTTACGTTGGTCTAAAACATTTTTAAATGTACACTTAAAAATGTAAAGTACAAACTTGGCAGATGTTTATAAAACAGGAAGTTATCCAGGTGTATTTCCTATATGAACCCAGTTGCAAACTAATTTTTGCCTCTGCATAATGTGTTTAACACCCTTTGTTTGAAGGCAGCAATTTATCATTAGATTTCAGTACTGGTAGTGATGATTGATTTGTTTGTTTGTTTGTTTATTATATTTCAAATTTAGTCGCCGCCCATCTCACTCAATGAGCAACTCTGGGCAGTTTACAGTAAAAACAAGAATAAATTTTGGTTGCCTTACTGTCTACAGTATTTCTCAATCTCTAGCTTTCATGCCACAGTTTAAACTCCTCCTCCTTTTATCCATGTTAGATTCACTGGTGAAGGGAAATCAAAGCTAGAGTTGAAGAACAGTCTTAGAAATTATCTAAAGATTGAGCTATGGATGCTGTGTTTTTTTCATAAATCACTTCCTCCTACATATAGAAAATAACACTGAATTTGGTTCAGATTATGACACCTTCCACAGATAAACTGCACAGTACTCCTCTCAGTCATGTCTGTTACTCTAGTAAAATGGTAGGACTGCTAATACTATGAAACAAATAACTATTTTTAAGTTGTGTTATCTTATTTAATCTTACTCATTACATGTTTTATTTTTTTCTACCACTTGTTTTACTTTCTTATTAAAAACGTGTTTTGTTTTTCTAATTGCTTTACTGTAACTGCCATAGTCTATTTCTGTGAGTACTTTTATTTTAATTATTCTAGATAATTATAGTTGTTACTTCATGTTTGAAAGAAGTTTTAATGCTGCATCCCTGTGCCTATGTACTTTAGAGCCATGATTTAGAACTTACTTAAATGTACTTTAGAACTCATGACAACTTGCCTTCAAATGTGCTACCCTCATCTGACACAAATGATACGCAAAATTCTGAGCCCAAAGACTGATGCTTTTTTAAGAGACTTTATTGAACTCAAACTGTGCTGCCTTCATTAGTTTTCACAGCAATATTTGTTTAGATCATTCTTAGTTAAATAGCTGTAGAGAGTAAGGGAGGTGAGCTTGATAGAAATACGCAAGAACCATTGCTTAGGCAAAGAGGGCTGAAATGTTCTTTAAGTCCTGGGAAGCAAGATAGTATCTGGAAGCAGTTCAGGCAAATGCCTCCCTAATTCACAGGGGTATAAGAAAAAGGAGAGACAGCACAATCACTTGAAAGATTCTGTTATTATAGCCAGTCTCAATAAAGTATGATTCTAGTCTTCCTATGGAGTTGATTCTCTGCTCTGGTCCACCTTGTGCGGCTGACAAGAACAGAGGAATGATACCTCTGAATAAAACTTCATTTTTGACACACACAAATATATGGCATATATTTAATTAATGTGCACTGTTATACACCATGTTAGCAGCATACTACTCTACAATGCTTTCCCACTATGTGCCAAAATTTCTCAAATTAAAAGAGATGTTTGGCATTAATAGAGCTGATGCAATTAACTTTTTAATGTTTTAGTCATTTGTTTGGACATTTTCCAGGCAAATGGTTTAAAAATTTTAATAAAAATTAGAAAAAGTTTCAAACTAGAAACAGGTCTAAAATTAAATAGGAAGCTGTATCCCTTTGAAGTAGGACTACAAAAACATTCAAATCAGGCCCCTTTTAATTTACGGTGTTTACTTTCTGGTGGATTGCAATACCACAAGTTGCTGCTGTAGAGATGCTCATTTTGCACAGATGTCAGTAGTTTCGGTACTAATTGCATAATGAAAAGGTTGTATGGAGCCAACACTCACTGTGTACTTAGGAACTCTAGCCAGAAAAACGGCCAGCAGTTTATTGTATGAACGCTGGTTAAAATCCAAGCGGTGGTAGCAATGATTTATATGCTCTGAGATGCAGCTGTCTTTTTGTTCTAATGAAGGAAGCCAAGTATCTGTTTCGACTGTACATGGCACTAAAGCAATATCGAGAAGCTGCTCGGACAGCCATCATCATTGCTCGAGAAGAACAGTGTGCAGGTATGGCTCTTCTGTTGGTTCATTTCTGGAGAGTAAATCTGACAAGACCAACACATGAGGTCATGCATGGAAAAAGAGCGCATCGTTGGTGCATTGTCTTTCCACTGTTAAAATGTATTAAAGGTGGAGTTTATGCTTTGCTTGCCAATGTCTCCTCTTCTGCTTACTAAGAATGCTGTCCATGTTTTCCTTTGCTTTTACTCAAGGAATTATAAATGCATTTTGTATGATGGCACTGCTCAGGATTAAACCAAGTAGCTAGTTTAACCTCAGGAGCATTTAACAGCTAGTTAAATGCTCAGCAGGTCTCATTTGGAGAGTAAAGAACTAAAAGATGAATCTATTTGTTGACTATTAAATTTTCACATCGGCATTCCATAAACCCATTAAATTTATGCTGACTTTTTCCCTTTGCTGCTGGAATTTAATGTTTTATATCCAAGCATCCAACTCAAGTGAATTTGTGGATAAGACTTGTGACTAATGTCTGAGAAATCAGTAACCAAATTTAATATTTAGCTTGATTCAAAAGTGTTTGATAGGTTCCTAAATATTTTACTGAAATGTAATTGCTGTTTTTGTTTTGTTTTCTTAAAAAAGGGAATTATCGAAATGCCCATGATGTTCTCTTCAGTATGTATTCAGAATTAAAAATCCAGAAAATTAAAATACCCTCTGAGATGGCTACAAACCTTATGATTCTACACAGTTACATTTTAGTAAAGGTAACTACTTTGATTATGTAGATATTAATACAGAAAATTAAATCCAAACTTATGTAGTGAAATTTAATGCAAAGTTACTATGAAATGCATATTAGGGATATAGAAGGCCCTCCTGGATCAATTCAGAGGCCTTTCTCATCCAGCTTTCTATTTCCAGATAGTCCATTTGGATCCAAGACAACTGTAAGAAATAAACCACCAAGTATTGTAGTCCTTGTCTACTTACATGCCCCAACAATTACAGTAGTATTATGAAGCCTATAGTTGCTAAAAGTAGTATTGAAAATAGCAGATGTGTAGTTATGTAAAGTGTCATAATTCAGTCTGCTTCTAGAGATACCTTAACAATTTTCAGTAATTGACCTTATTCTTACAAGATCTTTAACTTGGTCAATAACAAGGTTAACTTATTGTAAGTACACGAAAAATATATTACTTGATGCAGAACAGGCCTGGTCATGCCCAGGGTTAAAATGACTTCACCTAGTCACCTGTTTTGTGGGAATATAAATCTCAAATCAGTTGATACATTTTGCATTTCGTCTTCCAAGAAAAAGAGTTGGAGGGAAAGAACAGCCCCCCCAAAATGCCTTCTTAATTATAGAACAAGGCCTGGCAGCATAAAATACAACTCCCAAAGTCCAGGCTATTCCAACTGCTCCTTGCTGAGCCCACATCTAGTGATATGAGGCCTTGTCCTTACTGTTTTGGCAGAAGAGATCATGGGATTCCATGAAAAATAGTGGGATTCGGTATTCCTCAAATCATGAATCTTTTTGTCCTAGTTGGAGAATTAGTGACTGACTGGATTAAGAAGGCCACAAGAACAAAGCTGTGTGCAGATTCTTTGGTGCCCATCTAACTAACCATTTGTTGCTTGAGAAGGATGATATTGATGTTTCTCACGCTTACTGACAAAGTTCAGATACTCTGTTCACCCATAATGTGGCTTTGTTATTTATGGTGTGTAGGTTGCCTAATTGCAGCCAATTATAGTTGATTCAGCAGACAAGTGAGCCATTAACAGCATGGGTGAATCAGATCAAAGTGGTTTTTTTTCCTGCAGTAGAAAATCAAAATAGCCTCACATCATTTCCTCCTCCCACCTGCTTCAAAAGGCAGGGCTTCTACAAATCAGGCCTGATGGCCTTCTGGAAAGCCTTAAAGACCTAGCTGTTCTCCCATACTTTGGGCTAGGGTGGTTGAGGCCCCTGTTGAAGTTGTTTGAGGGCATGGGTGTGGTTAGCTGGACTCAGCATTGGTTCTTGTTTTTCATTTCTTTTCTATTTCTGTTATAATTATTGTATTGTATTTTCGTTTGCTTGGTTTTATTGTAAACTACCCAGAATCAGTTCAGACTCAGGTGGTGCCTAAATTGAATAAATTAAATTAAAATAAAATAAATTATATACCATACTTCCCTGGGTATAATAGAGAACTGCCTCCCAATTTCACTCCTTCCTATTCCAAATTCCAAAGATTTAGCAGGAAAATCACAAATCTTCCTGAATTGCTACACAAAGAGAGCCACTTGAAAAGGGGAAAGGAAAAACTGAGGATATTCTCTGTATGAGCAGAAAAAATCAGTCTTACAATGGGGATTCTTTGAAGGACTTTTCCAAAAGGGGCTAACACAGTTGGCAATCGGGTATATTCTATAGAAATCCTGTGCCCAAGGAGCAACATCCTCTTATTGTCCAAAGGCAGAATACATAGAAAGGAGCAGCATTTCCCCATCCTAGTGTGACTGGTTCTTCCTCACCTTTCTGGAGACCTGGCCCAGTCCAATGTGATTTACCACAATATGGAGTCCTTGCATAGCGATTTCTTGGTGCTGAAGGAAATTTTGAGTGGTTTCAAGCATTAAGGTTTTTGGTCTCAGAGTTACCCCATATTTCAAACGGAGGGTGGTTGGGGGGTTGTAGTGCTGTTTTAGATTACTGCAGTTTTTTTCTTTAAGAATGACAGTCCTGGCCTGAGCAAGTAGGACAGGTCATGTCGGTTAAGTATCAGGGATCTCAAATTGGGATAGCTCTGACTCTCTAATGGAGATGTACAAACAACTCTGCTTTGCTTAAGATCTATATATCAGAATAAAATGAAGGAGTAACCAATTCAAGGACTTGTAGAAAAGGAAGTTACTATAACATTCTGTTTATAGCCATAAAGCTTGACAAATCCTTTCACGGTATGCTGCTTTTTCCTTGTTTACTCTGGATGGCCTCTAAATATTACAGATAATGCCTAATTCACATATATATTTCAGATTCATGTTAAATGTGGTGACCATATGAAGGGAGCACGTATGCTTATTCGCGTTGCTAACAATATCAGCAAGTTTCCATCCCGTAAGTGTTAACCACGCTGGAAGAGTGCCCCCGTGCAGTACTGCAATCAGGGATATTTTCATCTTTGTAAGAGGGTTTAGCATTGCAGCTTTTGTGAAGTTATTGTTTTAAACTGCTAAATACGATTCCTATTCTGTCCTTTCCTTTTCCTTGATAACATGATCGTCAGTATCTTCTAAATCTCCTCCGACATTTTTTATTGTTGGAAGCATAACAATTTGCAACATAGATAAATGGAATTTGTCAAATTATTTAGATCCTGTTATAAATAGTCTAAAATGTAACTACTGCATGCATTATTTAGAGATTGAGGAGCAAGGCAGTACTGCTCACAGAAATAAATTTATTGGGGATTGGATATTGTTCTAATGTGCATTATTTATATGCTTGTCTTGAATATCATTGCTATGCTGTTATCACTTTGACTATCACCTTCAGATAGCCTCTCATTCAAATTCAGGGCAATTACATTTTATCAACAGCAACTCTAAAATCCAGGAAGCTTTGACTGCAAACTGAAAATGAATTACTAAACTATAAAACTGCTTTGCTACTAGAAGCAACATGATTTCTGTTGTTTTACTTTCAGATATTGTGCCCATCCTGACCTCAACAGTAATTGAATGTCATAGAGCAGGACTGAAAAAATCAGCCTTTGGTTTTGCTGCCATGCTGATGAGACCAGAGTATCGGAATAAAATTGATCTGAAATACAAAAAGAAAATTGAAGCAATGGTCCGGTGAGCTTATGTTACTCTGTCTAACGAAGGTTTGGGAATGTCAGAGTCACCCTCTGGGGAGATGGGCGGCATATAAATTGGATGGATGGATGGATGGATGGATGGATGGATGGATGGATGGATGGATGGATAACTGATAGGCGGCATATAAATTGGATGGATGGATGGATGGATGGATGGATGGATGGATAACTGATAGGCGGCATATAAATTGGATGGA